CATCATGAGACAAAATAAAAGGCCATGGCCTTTTAATATGGATTTTACAGAATTGCCTCTGAGGTGGCCTTCTATTTAGGGTGCCCTTCTAATATAGGGTGGCCTTCTATTTTGGGGGGGGGTTTACAATAATCACTAATTTCATCAGTGATTTACGAAAATTCTTACCAGATGATTTTAATCCAATTATCAATATGTTAAACACTAATTTATGCTATTATTTTCCAGCTCATACAAAGATAAAACAAGATTTTCAAGTTTGGTTACTATTAAAAATGGCCATACTAAATAGTCAAAAGCGCGAGAGAGAAACGGCTATTAAACTCTACAATGATTGTATTGAGCTCATTAAGCAATCGAAAACATCGTCGACATCTGTGAAGATTGCTGCAATACAATATAGTATTTACTTAATTGATTATTCGGAGATAACAATACCAAATGATATATCTTTGATAGATTCATTATTATTGGAAAACACAATGGGTAAATATGTCAATCTCAACAAGAAAATATTAGCATTCAATGATTCATTTCAATGTGATAGAGAAGAACTTAAATATATAGGACAATATTTATTTGATATTGGTGATTATGATGGAGCATCATCGTATTGGGAATCTATTTTAGAACAGCAAAAACAATTTACATCAACTTGTTGCCAATATGATGGTTTCGCCAACTAAAACAGTTCAACAAATTCATGGTGAAATGAAACGAGCAAACAATGAATTTATTCAAGAATCAAACTTGATTTTATCAGCTTATATGAGATGTGCTTTGTTGAGCTCAAAACACATCGATGTTTTGACTTCAAAACAAAATGAGCTCAAGCATATTCATTCTTATCAACGTTACTTTACCGATGTTATTAATTACGCGAAAACAATATCTAGAACTATTAATGGGAATAATAATGAGATAAGCAATCAATGTGAAATATTATTATTGGAAATGCAGAAGAAAGTTGAAGGTCATCACACTGTTTTTTGATTCATGATGAACCCAAGAGCCCGGTGATGTAATGCGGACGTATATATCTAAACCTTATCCTACTACAAACACTAGACGTTCAAAGCACAAAACGGCGATGTGTATTTAGACATACCATCATTGATTTAGATAACTAAATATAGCGTTAGAAGCTAACAATAACAATTTTTATTTTAACCTAAAACTTTAATCGTACAAAATAATATCGATGAAGATGAATCGTATTTAGCAACTGATGTGTTTCGATTACCATTGACGATCAATGATTACTCGTGATTACTCATCGATCATCAATGAGTAGTTGTGAAATCCCGAAAATCTTTAAAAATCCCCCAAATCCAGCTTTTTCCCCGTTGGTATATTTGCTTATTCTTATCATTTGCTATTGCCTTGTCGCCTTTCGACGCCCTATGTTGACTGCAATTTTTCTTTTTCATTTCTAACATCACTCAATGTCATTTTATCAAGGGGGAAAAAGCTGAAATCAGCGTTGAAAGTCCAAATCTGACTCCAACTAATTTCAACTGATTTTATGAAGTCTGAAGTCAATTCAAGTCAGCTTTTTTCCCCCTTGCATTTTATCCAGTTCCACTTTTATGATACTTTTGTATTTTTTTCAACTTATGGTAATGCTTGATGTACTGGTAAGTTTTTATAAATATGAAAACGTTTGTCAGCAAGTATGGCAAGAGAACTGATATATAAGGCTATAACACTACTGCAGGGCATCATTAATGTTCGCTTCGTTAGAGTACATTCGTGTTTCACTGTGCATTTTGAGGTGTTCAACGATTCTATTTAACAATTCTCTTTACATCACAGTTATACATGGTTTCACTTGATGTTATAGCTACGGGTAGATCTCTGTTGGAATACCGAATAATTTTCTTTTTTGATACAGCAGCTGCGGAAGTCATCTCTGAAAACAAAAGTATCTAATTGTTAAATGATCTGTGCTGCAGATGATGAAGCTTAAAAATAAAAACAACAGCCATCTACGACGATACACATCAAAACTTATCAGGACACTCAGAAAAATTAATTTTCACTAACTTGAATGAACTTTGCTATAGTTAGCAGTATAAGTTTTACTTCTTCTTTTGGTACCTGCCAACTTGCATAATGCGGCTGAAACGCGTAACTGTCACCCTCAGTTGTGGTGAGTTGAGCGATATTTTTTCGCTCAAACCAGTCTTAAAAGCACATTACTAGACGTAGCTTTTTGCGCTGATTACGAATATCAACTTTAAAACGAACGAAACTCAAATTTTTAAATCGAAAATTCAAAGTTAAAACTCAGAAGTTTTTTTATTTCAATTCTCTGACCTACTTGAAGAGTGGATCCTGACATTAAAGAAAATAACTAAATTTCTAGAAAAAAAGAGAATCATCAGTTTTTCACTGAAAATTGGATTTTTTTTTTCAGAAACTCGAAGACGCATGAAGACAATTGGATCCTAATTGAAATATTAAAAGCTGCTTTTTCTGTAGCCAAAACCATCACAATTATAAAGCTCTTCTGATCTTTCCTTCTTTTGCTACAGTCTTCAGAGTAATACACAATAATGGAAAGATTCTTATCAACATTAAATTTCTTTCCGTATTTGTTTATTTGTCATCTTTCTATTTCAGAAAATCTTCACTCTGGCAAACATGACACTAAAATGTACTAAATCAGAACATGTTTCTTCTGAGCCTCGTGATAGAATGTGTGATAATATTAACAGTAATTTAAAATCATGTAAAACCGGGATATTGGAGTTTCATTAAAAACGAAAACTCATTAAAATTTTAACGAAACTTCCTGCGTGTTCGACGGCTCTGGATTTTCATTCAATTTTTTTTAATGAAACTGTCACAGCCACTTTGCAGGAGTCATGTTAATGAAAATTAGGTAAACAGAATATAAGTTAAGTACTCGAAAATGAATATGTTTAAGCAGAAAAAAATGATCTATATATCGCGTATCGATACATATAGGAAGTGAAACAGGTTTCTTTTGCTAACCGATATATGTATTAGATATAGAAAATTTACAGATTTCGTTATTGCGTTTAAGAATAGTGATTTTTAAGAAGAGTCAATCTAGTGATCTTGGATTTTTATTAAAATTTTTAATGAAGTTCTTCTGCTATCAAAATCATTTTAACGAAACTTTTGCTAATATGTTTTAACGAAAGTTCCGATACTTTCATTAAAAAAAAAACGTTTTAATGAAACGTTCTTTTAATGAAAGTCAGCCAATCCGTAAAACCACAACAAAAGTAAATGCTGCTGCTGATAGAAAAAATGATCAATCAATAATAAATTCTTACGGAAAAGGAAAAAAGCTAAAAAGATGTCGTAAAAATTGCAGAATGGATCCCGTATACTAAAATTTCGATAAAAATAGTAGAAATGATTCCGAATTTAGAAAAAAAATATTTTCGACAGAATTGATCCCGGAATAAACTAATTTTTATATTTATTGTGCAGAATTGATCCCGGAAAACGTTTTTCTTTCTGCGAACAAGAGAATTGATCCCGGTTGACGTGTGGTGCGAATGTAAAGACGGCGTTGAGACATAAACAATAGCAATGTGTCACATCTTTTTTCATACTTTTTTCACTCACATCACTTTTGACTATTACTATCACTATTAAACAAACTATGGCTCGAAAGACATGGCTATTAGTTTTTGCGTGTGTAAATGAAACTGATTTGTTAAGTTTTATCAAAACTCAAGGTGTCTGCAAAAATCGAACTGAACAATTCATTACTGGTTTATCAATTACATATAAATGTTCACAGTACTGAAAATATCCGCTATGCGAGTATGAATTGAATATAGTATATAGAAATCAGCGAAGATCTTTGAGAAAGAGGATCTTACGTGACCACTACACACGTCAACCGGGATCAATTCTCTTGTTCGCAGAAAGAAAAACGTTTTCAGGGATCAATTCTGCACAATAAATATAAAAATTAGTTCATTCCGGGATCAATTCTGTCGAAAATATTTTTTTCTTAATCCGGGATCATTTCTACTATTTTTATCAAAATTTAGTATACGGGCTCCGTTCTGCATTTTTTACGGGATCAAAACAATTACCGTCCAAAGGAAAAACTCAAATAAAATAAATAATAAACCAAAATCAAAGGCAGTCAAAATAGTAAATAGGATGTTGGCGAGACTCTTGAATATGATCTCGTACTAAGAAATGTCTCATAACGATTTTTAACTTTAACATAACATGAGCGAATAAAGCCAAATTTTTACTACAGAGTTTTCGAAATGTCTTGAATTTAATGAAGTACATAAATAGCGTTTAGACCGAGCAAACAATGGTTTCCTGGGGAACCGGATTCTCTACAAAATGTGTTTCTTCTCTTTTACTGTTATCGGAAGAAACCGGTGCTCTCGGATGTTTTTCAAAAAAGTCGAGAACAGACAGAGCTGCAGAGTTCGCACCTTCACTATTGAAAAGGGAAGACTTGATTACATATTTTCGTAACAGAAAAGATGTCAATAATCTTTTTCGAAAGCAGCTTTTTTAGGAGATCTTTGGAAAACTAGGTCATAGCTCACCAACTTCAAGTACTAATTGTTTTCGTTTTCTTTTACGGGTAGATAGCCCCGAGTATCCAATTTAAAATGGAGCTCTAACACACTACTTCGAAGTGTCCTCTACAAACTGGAAAAATTTAACAAAACTATTAAAAATTAAAAAGCTTCTCTCTTAGAGAAAATGTCTTCCCAGCAATTTGCCCGGAAATTTTCAAATTTCTACTTATAACCTCGATTTTGTTGTCAGTCGATTTAAGACATCAAGATGCATCTATCAAAAGTTCGGTCAAGTTTTAACTGAGTTATTCGGCTTTGACCTGTCCGAATAGAGTTTTGGAACAAAAAGTATTCTTAAAAATCCCGTTTAACGAATTTTTAAAAATCCTACGTAAATATTCTGGAGAATGTAATTTTGAACAACTTTTGTTTCAAAATGTCTTGAAAACGATTTCTTCAACCAAAATTTGATTTAAGATGTTTTAAGGATACTTTTTGTTCCAAAATTCCATTCGGATAGGTCAAAGCGGAAAAACGTGCGTAGTCCGCGCATCATGGATTTTCAAGATCTTGCTTAGATGCAATTTTGTAGAAAACACTTCGAACTATATAACTGCCAAAAAAAATTGATCTACTTCTATGTCAGTTTTCAGAGATCCAAACTGGTTTTTTCTAACGCTTCTCCGAAAAATCGACTTCCGAAAACTTTTAAAATATCAATTCTGTTTACGGAAGCATAGCATTTTCAAAACTGGAAATCTTTCTATCATTTTTTCATCAAAAATTATTTGAAAAACAACCGAAGCCACTGGTCATTTGGATGTAGTGATGTGATGGAATTCGGAATTTTTTCGTAAAATGGTCGTTTCAAAACATTCGAATGTTCATTCACTCTCATCTGTTCGTTAATGGATACTCATTTGCTATTCTCTTTTTGAAAATCGAAATATATTCAGTTGCTTCTAATTTTCATTTTACTTTAGTTCATTTTCATATCATTTAGACTATCAAAGTGGACTGAAAGAAAAGGAAAGTTTGAATGTTTATTCACACTTTGTGAAATATTTTGAAAAGTGAACACATATAAATATATAGCCGTAGTTACTTCTAACACAGACACTCCTTTTCTATCAACTGTCTTTTTCTAT